CCCCAGCCATTAACCTCCAGGTTGAGTTAGAGGCCCCAGCCCCACAGTGGCGTGAAAGCCCTATCTCTACCCGGGAAGGCTGCACACACCTGACGCTTCACACTGAAGGAGGGAGGATTTGTCCAGGACTAGGAATACTGCCTTCTGACCTGCTTCCCACACAAGGTTGAGAAAAAGAGGGCAACAGTACGAAACACACACACACACACACACACACACACACACACACACACGATTGTTTCCTTCTGGAGAGAAACGTCTGGTGATTTTTTTTTTTTTTTTCTGGAGAGAATATAGTTGTCATTAATCTCTCAAAGAAGTCTATGACTCAGAATGTTAAGGACTGTTCCTCTGAGGCCAGGCAGGTCTCCTAGGATGCACCCCAGTGGGTGGAAGGAATTCAGTGCAGTAACAGCCATCAGAAGATCGAGAGGTCAGAAGATCTAGAAAAACCGTGACCAGAAGAAGAAAACACAACACGTGCACTCTTCATTCTCTCACGGGTTAGCGTGATGTATTCCACAACACTCGTTGCGGGAACGTCTGAACCAGTTTACTTTTGAACTGTTCAAAACCTGGTTCGGCCCACTGGTCAAAAACCCATACTGGTTGAACACACGCACACCCCCGTTCGGCTCACGCCAAGAACAGCGTTCCCTAAGAGGCTGGCGGAGTGGTGCACTTGTGACTGGGTAAGAATACAGTTCTGTGAGGACAGTGATGTCTCGCGAGAACACGGGCCTGTTCTTTATTGTGACAGGATGTAAAGTGAGCTGCGAAGTCATCCGTGTTGGCCATATTTCATCTCACTCGCCCGTGAGAACCCTATCTTCAGCAGTGCAGGCTGAATACTTTCTTGCCCTGTGGGTTAGGTTCTGAGAGGGGTCAGCTCGGTTCCTGGCTTTTCGATGGGCAGAATCAGGATAGCGGGGAGAAGGTGGGGAAGAATCGCCATAACGGAGCTAACGTTTGGAGGGAAGAGGCAGAACTCGGACCTGAGAATGAAACAAAATCAAATATGGAAGAGGGCAGGGGAGTCAAGAATGGTCCAGGGTTGGGGTGAGCGGACCTTACAGGTGCTAGTTTAGGAGTTGGGAGAGCTTCTGTGGGCAGCTAGCTGCTAAGAAGTGTTGGGAACTGAAGAGAGTAAGGATTTTAAGACGTGTTCCCGTGGATTAGGAGTCGGACCCCTCCGCTATTCTTTCAGACAGACCAGCAGAAATAGGAGTTCTCTCTAGCAGTTTTGGTTGCTGTACTGTGACTTCGAAAGTGACCTGTTTGTGTCCTGAAGCACCTGGGGCTCAGTGTCCTTTTTTTAACAGTTTATATTTAATTGTGGTAAGAAACACATAACATAAAATGTACCGTCTTACCTATTCGTACATGGACAATGCAGCAGTCTTACGTACATTCACAGTGCACAGCTCATGGGCAGAACTTTCTCATCTTGCAAAACTGAAACTCTGCACCCACTGAACACCAACTCCCATTTCTTCCTCCTCGCCAGCCCCTGGCAACCACCATTCTCCTTCATGTTTCCGTGCATTTGACTACTTTAGATACCAAAGTAGAATCATTTGGTCTTTTTGTGACTGGCTTATTTTACTTAACATACTCAAGGTTCATCCACGTCGTAGCACGTTACAGGATTTCCTTCCTTTTTAAGGCAGAATATTATTCTACTGTGTACACATATGGGACCCGAGTCTTATTTGGTTACATTAAAAAAGTTTTCATTTATATCAAGTAGTAAGATAAATTAAGTACTCAGTGTTTCCACGTCAAGTCTCCAGCTTTTGCCCCGGTGCTCCTAACAGTCAGAACACCACAATATGGGGCGCCTGGGTGGCTCAGTCGGTTAAGCGTGAGACTTCGGCTCAGGTCATGTTCTCGCGGTTCATGGGTTCGAGCCCCGCATTGGGCTCCGCGTACTGACAGCTCAGAGCCTGGAGCCTGCTTTGGATTCTGTGTCTCCCTCTCTGCCCCTCCCCCTACTCGTGCTCTGTCTCTCTCTCTCTCTCTCAAAAATAAACATTAAAAAAATTTAAAAATTAAAATACCAGTTTATTCACCTCTGAAGAAGCCAGTCATCATATAATAATGAACCTCTAACAGACACATTTTAAGATGAAAATAAATCACTGAAAGTCCTTCATTATAAATAGAAGGCTTTGAATGAGAAATAATAACATATCAAGTTACCATTCCATCAAGGACTTTTCCAAATACCACATGTTTGCCGTCCAACCAGGTGGGCTTGGTCAAGGTGATGAAGAACTGAGAGCCATTGGTATCAGGCCCAGCGTTGGCCATGCTGACCCACCCGATGCCATAATGCTTCAGTTTGAAGTTCTCATCTGGAAATGTCTCACCATAAATGCTTATACCTGGGTGAGACAGAGTGGAAAAAAAAAAAAAGAGAGAGTCTGGAGAATCACCAGATGTTGTATGAAAGTAAATTCTTCAAAGGGAGACATAGGTTTTAATAGAATTGGTTAACCTCTGGAGGTGGGGAAGGGGGAAAAGATGGTAAAACAAAGGAAAATAAAGGAGGTGATACAATTTGGCTCTAGACACTCAGATAAACACAAAAGACGTGGCAGTACCTTCTGGCCTCCAAGCAAGACCCCAACGTTGGCTAAGCCAACAATTCACTCTGAACTAAGGAAGTGAAGGGCAGGATGACATCGTCGAGCCACATGGAAAGGCGGGTGAGCCATCCTCCTGGCTCAATCTCTGTCCGGAGCTTCAAGTCACTTGTCCTGTGTCACTCCTACCTCAGCACCCAACCGTGATGCAATTAGCACTTGCCACCCTCAGCTAATTCTCACAGCCCTGCAGAACAGGTATTCTCAATCCCATTGTGAGTGAGGCAACAGGGGTTCCAAAGTTTGGAAACTGCGCAGCAGAACTGGGAAGTCAGAGGACTTGCTGTCACTAAAGCTGCTGCTCCCTCCTGCGTCTGCGCTCCGAGCAAGGGCAGCCCGCCAGGAGGTCATCAGGCTCGATGACCTCTGGTCTCATCAGGAGACAGAGGGTGGTGGCAACCGGAGCACCCAGCGATCCAACCCCTGAACAGAACCAGACGCGGGCGTGTGGACCGGAGTTCTGGCAAAGCCCCAAGTGGAGCGGAACACGGTTTCCCCACACGACAGCGGGAGAGACCATGAGAAGCGTCTGCTCTGTCCTCTCCCACCTGGAGAGGTGTCCCACGCCTGCCACGCCCGCCTCTTCCGCCTTCCCTTCTGCCGGGCTCCTTATCCCTCGCTTGCCAACCTTAACATCCTGGCTCAGTCAGACGGACCAGGAGCGGGTGTCCAAGGCAAGCGATTCACAGCTGACGGGTCAGGGACAGATGAGGTGGCCTGGAGAAAGCTCTGCTCACAGAGAGATCGAGATGGAAGTGAAGGGACCCGAAAGGTCCTCCCTCCAAAACTCAGAGAATTTTAACTCAAGACGTGCGTGGACATTTGCACACGTGCGTGCACACACACGGCAGGGAAGGAAAAGAGAGGGAGAAAAAAGCAGGAAGGCGGCCACAGGAAAGCCCAGTCACTGATCCTGCCTGGCCCCAGGGCGGGACCCTGAGATGATGCGGGTCTCAAAGGACACTGCCACCGGACCTGCAGGCTTTTCCAGAGAGGCCCAGCTCTGCAGCAGCGGGGGCTTGCTTCCCCAGGCATCCACCCTGGCTGGCCCCACTGACCCGAGTCACCCGAACCACTTCTCTGCTCCACTCTACATCCCCATACCCCTGTGGCATTTTGGCAGGGAGTGAAAGTAACTCTCCCGAAGGACCTGGCCAATCCGAGGGCTGAATGGTCGCCATTTTGTTACAGATAAGCCATGGCGGTAAGCATACCCTTAGCAATAGTGCTTGCACACAGCCCGAGTGTTTCTTTAAAAAGTTAGCAATCTAATACCCATCAAAGCAAGTTATTTGCTGAACTGGAAATCTTAAACCTGAATGAAACTGAAATCCTAATGTGGTTGTAGGTATGGTGTGTGTCCAGGTCACAAACTCCCGGCGACCCCGAGGGAAGACGTTCCTGGGAGCTGGGCACCTGCAATCCGCAGTGAGGAACCACAGCCTCGGGGATATCCGACGTTGCAAAAGTTTAATTGTTTGTGCTTCGCAGGGCTCTGCCTTTGTTTACAAAAGCGTATGTTATAATTTTGACAACTCCTCTGTTACTTTTTATTATTAGTGTTGCTGGAAAAGCTGACAACAAAATGAAAGAATTTTGAAAGAAAGGGGTAAAGCCACCTGTAATCCTGCCTCCTAAATTCCAGCCTCGCCCTCCCAGAGTGGTGGCCTCCCCTGCAAGTTCTCCTCTCCTGCATCCCCGTCTGAGGCTGGCTGCCACCCCAGCCTGCACACGGTTTTATACTCAACCTTTCCTTCCTGTGTCAGATAGCCTTCTCTACTGTTGCAAACTGGGAGTCTAGCATTTTAAAAACTGCACAGTGGTCTACTGGATGAATATATATCTCCACCACGAAAAGATAAGGAACACCAAAGCAATACTGTTTAAAATCAGGAAGCCTCCAGGTCACGATCTCGCGGTTTGTGAGTTCAAGCTCTGCGTCAGGCTCGGTGCTGGTGGTGTGGAGCCTGCTTGGGATTCTCTCTCCCTCTTCCCCATGTGTTCTCTCTCTCTCAAAATAAATTAAAAAATATATATATATATAAAAATAAAACTAGGAAGCCTCGCTCATTCACACCTAGGACTAGATTTTGGTAGATGAGGTCCTCCCCCCCCCCCCCCCCAGCCCAAACCCTGTGCTTCTGAAGAATTAGTCTGGTGGTCTTGATGAATTGGTTTCCTGAACCTGGGAATTCACTTCATGGGGTGGATACACTGACTTGAGCTGAGGTGTCAGTTTGGTAGACAGAAAAGGAAAAATGCAAAAGACAGTGTTACCGCCGGTGCCGTCCCCACTGGTGATGTCTCCTCCTTGAATCATGAAATCTTTGATGACGCGATGAAATGTGCTTCCTTTATATCCGTAGCCTTTCTAAAGAGATTATGTCAATTGAATATATGAGTAGGTATAACCCACACCAAAAGATAAACCCCAGCGTTTATCTGGAAAGGACACAATGAGAAAATGACACGAGCTATGGGCAGAACCTGATGAGGTCCCTGCAACAAGGTACTAATAGAAATGTTCTCATTAGCAGACCCAAAATAAAGAAACCAACTGTGGAAGTCAAGGATTAATGTGAATAAGTGAAAACAGAGCAATCTGCGTTTTCATATGATGCAGTTCCCCTCAATTTCTAGAAACCCAAGGACACAGGGTGCCCAAAGAGTAAGATTTTGTACAAAAATAAAGTAAAATACTGTTAAGACGTCCCGGGTTCATTGGACCTGCTAATTCCACACTTATTTTCCCAGAAAACATCTGTATTTACGCTGGGCTTAACAGAAGGAAGATCCCATTTTGTGCACAGTTAAGGGACCCACAGCTGAGACCTACCTCGCCTGTGGCCAGAGCGACAAAATTTTCCACAGTCTTGGGCACAACCTTTCCAAAGAGGCCAATCACGATTCTGCCAACATCTTTGTCTCCAATCCTCACATCAAAGAAGACCTGCGTGTGGTTGAACCGGCAGAGCACAGGTACAAGGTAAGAGAAGGTTAAAATCTGAGAACGCATCACTATGCAAAAGGCCTCCCTGCCCCCACAGCAGCTTATAAGGGAGCCCTAAAACCCTCGTGTGGGTGCAAGGCACCTGTAAACATTCATTCCGCAAGCACTCAGTGAGCCTCCGCAGGACGGGCCCTGTGCTAGGTCCTGGGTCTGAAGTTGGTCAGCCAGTGAGGTCTCCGAGAAAACTCCATGCCCCCCCCCGCCCCCGCACACCCCAGACCACACAGCTGCCACCTCCCATTTCCCAGCTCTGTGCTCTTCCAGAAGGGTGACGCTCCAAATCTTGGCAGGAGAGAAAAACTGGTGGAGAGAGAAATCGTCTAACCATCCAGATTTATTTTTGTGTGACTTCAAACAGGGCCCAATTCCCAGTGAGTTCTCATAGACATCTGCTGTCAAGGGAACTGTAAGACATCAGAATGCACAGCAAGTTCTCTGAAAGGCCTGCCACTCCCCTGCAAGCCCTGTGAGGCTCCGGCTCCCCAGCCTCATCCAGAGCTCCCCCCACCCCCACCCCCGACAAAACCGTTCACGCTGGGGACTCCACCGCTGAACTCAGGGTCATGCTCCCGAAATTGGGGGGGGTGGTGACTGCGTTCTCTCTTTCTGTCACCACATTTTAGAGCAGATAAAAGGAAACACGGGCCCACAGTGAGTGAGTCACTTGTGTGGATAAACCTTAGAAAGTTCTCTTAAACTATGTTGTAAAAACCTGTTCCATCCGAGGGGTGCCTGGGTGGCTCAGTTGGTTAGGCGTCTGACTTCGGCTCAGGTCATGATCTCACAGTTCATGAGTTTGAGCTCTGCGTGGGGCTCTGTGCTGACAGCTCAGTGCCTGGAGCCTGGAGCCTGCTTTGGATTCTGGGCCTCCCTCTCTCTGCCCCTCCCCCACTCACACTCTGCCTCTCTCTCTCTCTCTCTCTCTAAAATGAGTAAACATTAAAAAAATAAAAAAATTAAAAAAACCTGTTCTGTCTGAAACGAAACCACCCACGTTTTTGCCTCACAGATCACCGTGTTACGAGGATTCCGGGCTGGAATGCTTGAAAAGGCTACCGAGTCGAAGGGCATTCTATTAGCAAGTTTAGATTATATGAACCAATTTACGGTTTGAATGGGTAAAAAAAGACATTCAAGAGATGGCTTTAAAAAAATGTAAGAAGGGTTGTCAGAGGAAAAAGATGTCTTACAGTTTAGAAAAATCATAAAGTAAAGACTGTGAAGCGTTAGTCCAAGACAAGAGCTTCTGCCAATACATCAGCACGTCTGTCACGGGGTGATGTGATATTCAGTGTTCCGTGTGGCATTTGAGAGTTTTTACGTGGCCACAGCAGCCAAAACCGTATTATTATTTATACGGCACAACTTTATAGAATGTATAAGAGACCGGGC